TTTATCACACCCTACAATCCAAGAATCTCGGTTACGAGCGGTTAAACAACAAGAGCACTAACAACAGTTACTAACGGCAGTTCCTTGATAAGTCAGCCATCACGAAAAAAGTGGGTAGCTATAGAGCGCCAAACGGTTTTACAAAAGGAAATCGACAAATGAGTATAAAAAGAAAAATAAGACATAGAAGGAAAGGACCCCGATTCAAACACTCTCAACAGAGAATATGTAATTTCAATTCATTTACTTTATATTTGCAAACTTTCAATTTACTTCGTGTACTTGTGCCCCTTGGTGGCGTTTTGCTTCTTTTTAGTACTCGTGTGCTGCGCCCCTTAGAGACATTTTGTTTATTTCCAATTGTAATCTTCATAATTAAAGCACCCCTTTTTGGGACTTTGTTTCAAAAGGTTTGTTCCTTACACAATCATCTGAACCTTTCTTTCAATTATTAGCAATAATCCGCGTGAAACAGAAATAAAACTCAAATTCATAATCATAAACGTGGAGAAAAAGGGGAAAAAAATTGTTTTAAAGTCGATTCAACCTTTCTTCTAGTCGTCTATTCCTTCAATTTCTTTCTTCTCTTGAATTAGCCATCCAAGAAGAGTCCTCAAAAATGCTCTCAAAGATTCTATTTATAGCTTTCTCAATGTCTATCTCGAACTGGGGTTAATTGGGCTTCATTCGGTTCAACTGATCCATTCTAGCCACAGAATAGCGTTGAGGCGCTACATTTTTTTTTTGTCCAAATTTTCTTGCATTTATAGCGCGGAGGTGCTGATGGTATAGCGCCTAGGCGCTACAATTTCTTTCCATTTTCCTTCTCTTCAGCATGTTTTCAAGTCCTTGCATATGCAATTCATATCATCATCACTCCTTGTCTTCCTAGTTACTCCAAAACATTTCACCTAACCTACAACAAAACACAAAAACACACATGCAGATATCTTAAAACCCTTAAGACCAAACAAAAATCAAGTTTAAAAGCGTTATCCATTGTCTATGTGGCTACTAAAAGTCTATTGATGATGGTGTTTTACATGCTTATTCATGCTTTTAAACTATATAAAATATTGTTAAATGAGTGATATCTGTTGATTTAGTGTAATTATGTTAGTTTTATGAGAAATCCCAATTTGGATATAATTGGCAAAGAAAGGTGATTTTGAGCTTAAATAGAGTTGATTCGAAGTGATTGGATGCTAAGAAGTGACTCGAGTTGAACGAAAATGAAAATTCAAGGTCCAAATCAAAAAGAAAGAAAATGATTGAGCCTTGAGAGTGCAATGCTTTACCTATGCGATCGCGATGAATCAATTATTACACCACCATGTTCGAAGGCTTAATCATTTGATCGCAACACATTACACTGTGATTGCAAGGTTGTCCGACGCAGATAATATTTTATTTTTAGTTTGAGTCAATTTCTTGGTGCACGAATTTAACTTAATTCTTGGGACTATAAGTAGAGATTTATCTTTCATTCATGAGGAGAAGCTTTTGGGTACATAAAACACATATTCAATAGACAAATTTCATACGATCAGTGGCGAACCCAGGATCTCAACTCAGCTCGGGCGGACGTTGACTTGTCAACGTTGACCAGTCAACGTCGACCATCAG